AACGTCACTGTTCAGCGATGCTAACCTAAAACACGAGGTCTTCTGTGGTGTTCACAGATTTTGATGTCATCAACTTTAATCGATAACCGAACTGCCAAGTGAATCATCTATAGGACCTGAAGCAACGGTGAATAAAAAAACGTTCGAACTTTCGAATGAAGTTGAAACCGGCGCACATATTCTGGAATTTTACCGCAAGGCATGCTATTCATCTTACAAACCTTTCGTGCATTGATCATATCCTGAGTCTTGTACTGCCACTGCCATTCTAGTGGAAACTATGTATTCCGCAAATTTTCCATATCATATTGCAGCAAACTCACAGATTCAAGTAGCAGGACTGCGCTGTGATAACATGCTAACACAATTGCCTTAAAGTGTCAAACTTTGCCTTTGCAAGAAGCTGATTCCAGTAGACATCCATATCAAATGCGTTAAATGGAAGCAACACTGCACTAATAGGTGAGTTTAAGCTTAAAGTGCACTAATGATGGATACAACTCCATAATTTTAGAATCAAATCGGCTATATACAAAACAGATGCATCTAGACCGCAATTGGTAACGAATGTGCACTGCTGCAGAAAACAGAAATTCCATGAAGTGTTTCAATGGGTGGATAAACGACAAGCGTCATTTTCTGTTCAAAACAAATGAGAACCATGAACTCGGCGTAAATCCTTAAGAAAATTTTGCAAACTGCCCTCATTTGTTCACTTTATTTGTAAAGAACTTCAGAAGAAAATCAAACATTTAGCGGATATGGGCGAACAAGCGACCAATTGTAATTCCGTGTGCTAAAGAATGGATTTGCAATTAAGCAAAATAGAGATGTTGCCAAGAATCACATATACTTCGAATGTGCACGGAAAAAAATGAGAAACTCGTAGATTTTCTCATTTTTCGTTCTGTCAATCACAAAATCCAAGTTTCCTTCAAGCTTTTTCTAGATGCATTAAATTTACTACAGATAGGCAAACGGTTATGAAAATTATTCGCCAAAGACCAAAGACCGTGCTATAAAACCGCTAAACTCTTGGTACGAATGAAAACATGTAGCAACAAGCGGAACAGAGATCATAGCGAAATTAATGAAATTGGACGATTTGGACGTTTCCATACGGTAAAAAAGTAAATATTGATCAGTAGGTTTTGTTTCTACCATTAATTTTCCTACAGTAATACATGGTACTTTTACGTGATTTCCACAGCTGATCGTTAGTTTGTAAGTAATATTTTAAGTCTCAAGTCAGGAAGAAGTGTTTATATGTATTTTCTTTAAAAAATTATCAAATTGGATAGCCGCAGTGCATGTTGTTTATGCGACCATTTTGCCTATGCTTTCATTGTTTCTTCAAGGATGCAGTCTTATCTGTGAATTATTCTCTTCACGTCTTTGATGAACCAAATTAATTGCTTCAGAACCACTTTGTTGTAATTTTTTTCTGCGTTTCTTTTGTTCTAAACTGTCAACTGCTTTCCGAAGTGTTTTAATGGTTCTTCTTGTATTCGAAACCGATATGTCTGGTGGCCGTTTGTGGAAGTGTCGCTTATCACGAGTGGTAATATCAAAACATTAAAAAACGCCTTAGTGATACATAGCATGAACGAAATAGTTTCTTGAGTGGTAGACCATTACCGACATTTCTTAACAGTAATGGAAAACTAGTGTGAAATGGAATAACATTGTTATGTGTAAAATTACGTTGTAATAATAACATTCTCATGTCACTTATCCGGACTTACACGGTGTAGTGCTTCATGCCTTGCTTTTGATAGTCTACGGAACTGTTTAATCTGAAGGCCAGCTCTCTATGGTATTATGGCATTTGCGGTGTATGAGCGTAAAACAGTACCGGTTGTTGGGTCGAGGAATCTCGTGTTCGAATACTAACGAAAAGGTAGTTGTTAGCCTGTCCGTAGGTGTGTAAACCAAACATAAACTCTACTTTTGTAAGTTTAGTATTAGATTGTTAGATTTCATTCCTGCTGGTAGTAATAACATTCCTCTGTCACTTCTCCGGATTTACATGACATTACGTGCCGTGTACAAGGGGTGTTTTGCGCCTGTGCACTGCCGGCGCTAAAATACTCTGGAGTAATAACATGCTTAACGAACTCTTAAGCTACTGGAAGCAAAGGACGTTGCTCTATGCCGTGTTAATACTGAGAAGAGCAACAGATGCGTGTTATTCTTGCGGCGGAATTAAAAACTAGCAGTTTCCTAGCAAACCAGTAACCTAAACCCGGAGTTTATTTTTTGTGATTTTTAGAAATGATTTTTTAACACAGTTCGTGTCACCATGATCTGATATTGTTTTTTTTAAATTTGACATTAGCATTCATGTAATGAAGTTTGGGATGCGCTCAAATTGCGAAATCACATGCTTTTATGGAGCGTATAGGTACATGATCAGCTTTGCGTCATCTTGACTCCGAAGACTTGTCACGAACCTCAGAGCATTCGGCTTAAAAAGTGATGATAACATTTGTGTGCATCATTATACCCATAAACCATGTTTGTTTGTAGAACGTTGCCCTCATAATCAACCTATTCTGACGACAGTCCTACTATATTAAGTATGCTGAGAACAGGGTAAGGTTACCGAAGTCAGCCAGAGGCTGAAATAGTTACAAGAGCCGCATCTCTACTATCTGCCGTTTCTTCTCCTCCTCTAAAGGTCTCGTGCAGAATCCATAGAATATGAGGGAGTTGTTCTGTGTGATGCGATGCGCAAAATCGAGGGCACTACAGTCTTCGCTTGTGGTGCTGGATGTAATTCTTTCTTCTGACTTTGCCTGGTATGAGCATGTCCAAATGTCCAGACGAAGAGCTGTTGCAAGCCTTGTTTTTTTGCCAGAAACTGAAGAGACTTCACGAGCCGCGAGAGGCAGTTAGGAATCTTCCTGTGTATCATTTCCATCTGTACATATGGTGCCGATAGCAAGTGCGTTATTTCAAGAACATCAGGCGGTCACTAAATTTATCTTTCAAACAAAGCGGCCTGCCATGCCGAGACTTTGCAGTGTTTTTAGCCGAATCTTCTGTCGCCCAAGGTGTACAAATAGCCACAAGTTCTTGAATAACTCAGTTGATCTACTCAAGACCAGTTGTCAGCCATTTAGTGCGTTAACCATATCATCCTGCCTCAATATATCTTCCTATACGGTCGTTCAAAAGATCCGTTGTCGCAACTGCAGCGCAAATGTTCAGAAGCCCATAGGCTGACCGTCAGGCTATGCTTAATGTAATATAGTGTTGCGGTGCTTTAGTCTTGACTAAGTGACTATAATTTAGTCTGTAATATTTTCTTATTTTGTTCTAATCACCCTGTATGTTACCTATTTATTCTTGGCTACTTATTTATTTATTCCGTTTTGACTATGCTGGAACATTGCATTTTCTGTGACCCCTTTCAAGCATTAAACTTTCAGCTTCAACCGTGTGAAACGTTTTTGTTGATCTGAAGTATTTTCTGTGATGAATGCAACGAGGTACTTGTGGATGGTTTTGTGCGCAGAGGATGATGCACTCCTGTTTTTAGGAATAGTACGTTTATAAATTTTCACGCACATAATAAATAAGTGTAATGGAACAAGGAAAGAAGTTTCGTGAATGTCTTAAGAGAAATTATGAAAAATTTATTACAGAGCAGTTATTTTGGTGCTGAGATGCCACGTGCGTATTTCGGTACATTTTAGCTTGTGATTATTTAAAAGACGTATTTATAGGCGATTCTGTTCAAGCAGATTATTTATTCTGCCCCTAACTTGTGCGGCCTGTTTCTCGCTGATTTTCAGATTTTTTGTATTATAGGATTTGTAGCCGAATTTGCATTGAAAGCAGTCCGAAGTGAACATCGTAAAGGATCTGTTAAAGTATATATTCCTGTCTTCTACTGCCAAGTGAAAGTAATGCTATGTAGCATATTTGTCTTCAGGAGGAAGTTTTCAGGAATTCTTCATAAGGAGTTGTTTTCAATCCTTAAACGTCGCATTCACAGTTAGTATATCGTGAATTCAAGCCCCGATTGTGTCATTCATCTTTACTCTTTCCAAAGCGGGTAAATAGATACCACTTTGTGGGAAAGGAAACGTATAATTTTGCACTTTTCTAGACATAGACCTCCTTGCCGGTGGCGTAGAAACTGAGAGAGTCATAAGCGCCATACGAAGAACGGTGCCAAAAATAATGTAGATGAATTTGTGAGAAGAAATAACTATTCAGAATATCATTTCAGATGGTCATACATCATAAATCTGGGTTACTCTGCTATTTAATGCTCTTGGGGGACTGGGATAGTTGTGCAGTGGGTTATGTTGCTGTACACGTTAGACTGCCGGGTTTAAACCAAGACGAGGGGTAAGTTTTCTCTTATTAGCTGTTAATTCCGTTGAGCAAGGGATTCTCCCACTCGGATTTGGTGTAGCCGGCTGAGAATCGAGCAGCAGGTCGCTGATTGCAAATAATAAAAACAGTATAATGATATTTTGGTGTGGTGTGCCAAATGGTGTAAGACACGCGGCGATTCTCTCTGATGTGTGCGCCTACCGGCTACAATTTGCCTAAGCCAACCGGAGAGCTGACTAAAAATAAGCACCAGGTGCAAATGCAAATTTAAGAAAAAGAATTTAGGTAATGGACATCATTTCGCCATCTTTTTGAGCAGCTGCAAAATGCATTCTTGTTCATCTTCTTTCTGTTTTTTTCCACAATTATTTTTCTTTTCCTTTTCTTTGTCTGCTTCCTTCGCTTTTTCATTTTCTTTTCCTCATGGTCTTCCTCTTCCTGTTCATTTTGCCGATTTATGTTTTTCTTCTGCTTTCAGTGCATCTGTATTGAATAAATTTTGAAGTTTTTATATTTTAAAGTGTAGCGCTGATTGGAAACAGCCCCGAACGACGGCGACGTATACAATTTTCCCATAGTCAAGGTGGATTGCAGTTCACACTGATCGTCGACTTAGACTGCGTCCGGTGCGTGCTGTTTCGACGAATCGCATGGAATGTTGCAGAATTAAGCTGAAAACCCTTAATCCCTACATCACGTGCTACATATGTAAGGGCTACCTGATCGATGCTACGACAGTCACCGAGTGTCTGCACACGTTCTGCAAAAGCTGCTTGCTGAAACATCTGGACGAACACAACACGTGCCCGAAATGCGAGATACTCATTCATCAGAGTCACCCGCGCAACTACATCAGTTATGACAGAACGTTGCAGGACATCGTTTACAAGTTGGTTCCGGACCTGTTCAACAGTAAGCCTTGTGACCGCTTTCGTGACTCAGTTCGTTCTAACGTCTCGTCGTTATGAGTTGCAGAGGAAATGCAGAGACGCGAGGCGTTCTACCGAGAGCGAGGCTTACCATTCGATAACCCTCTCGCTACAAGTATGTATATGTTTTCTGTTAATAAAAAGTTGATCATTCTCAGATTGATCAAACCTTGGATGGAAAAACAATGTAGTGACTACAGAATAATATAATCCGTTTATCACTGTGATATCAGGTATTCCGTAAATCCGAGGACCAAGTGATTAATGTGTTCTCATGTCCGGAATACAGACAGATGGCTGTTGTCTGTTTTCCGTACGTTTTCATGATGGGGCCATTTCTGGCGCCCTTTTCATTAGGTTAATGATGGGGGCATTGGGTCCATTTTCATGCCATCGGCCAGGAGTTCCTTATTTTGAAGGCCGAGTCGACGTCAGCTGAGTGGTCAGCGTAGTTTGTAATCTCGTGTTTCTTTGCCACAGATTGCGTAAGGAAGAATCGGTGACCGGACCGCGACTCGAACTCGATAACTTGTGGCCCATGTAACTCTGCTGACTGGTAAATCAGCTAGACAGATGGCAAGCCATTCTGCGAAGGGCATCGTATTCACTTTCGCTTATTAATATCATACGATAAATATGGCAAACACGAGAAGCGTTTAAAGGACGGTGTGAGAAAACATTTACAAGCGAGAACTGGTAAACTCCTGTGCTGTTCGTAGATATTCGGAAGAAGCTATTCAGGCATACCAGGCCATTGGCCACGTGTCTTTGAACTTCAGAAATGTCAGATACTTCTCGCATAATTTCATTTAAAAAAGCGTTACCTTACTCGTAACTGATACTTCAGAACCATGGAACATGGCGTCGCATAGATGCAGATTTGGCTTCGTTTCTGACAAAACCTTGCACATGCCGTTCATATAATGCGCTTGTTCATTAATCTTATCTTAATTCAAGTTCTAATTATCTGCTATCTTTGAGCAACGTCTACTGGTCCATGCCACTTGTGTTATAGCAGCCTTCCTCGCAGGATACCTCAATCAAAAGACTATTCTTTTAGCGTCCCAAAATTGTAGCATTCTGTGAATGAGTATCACCTTATGGCACTGTGGTGGGACTGCTAACACAGGTAATTGCTTCGATGCCCTCACCGTTGCTGTAGGCATTTACAACAGATTTCCAGAGTCAGATCACGAGGCGCGTGGTAATCTTGCTTGCTTGCTTGCTTGAACTGGCCCACCGACAAAGGAATAACGATAACAGTGCTTTACTTCCTTTCATGGGGTAATGTTTTGATATATTAGAGAAACAGAGTAATAAGCATTTACAATTCTTGCAAGACCCTTTTGGCAAATTTTCAGCTACATATTTGAGTTGTCTAAGGTGTTATTTTCTTTCCGTTTCCAAACATTACGATCCGTCAGACATTGTCGGTTTTTCTTTTAATCTTGTCAGGTGTTCAGCAAGTTCAAACAGGATTGTGGGCCACCGTCCGGGCTTTTACTCAGTTACTCAGTCCGGGTATCCTTCCTTTTAGCAAACCTGCTCAAACCTTAAATGAGTCGATTTTGGCTCTGGATGCTTGTTTCATTAACTGATCGACGTTGGTCTTTTTCCGCTGTGGTCACATTTTGGAGAGTTAATGGAAAACTGTTGTCTCGTAACTGCGTAAAGAATTAGCTTATGCTAATACATCGTAATTTGAATTTGGCAAAATGTGTATCCTTGTTAAGTTATTTACACTGATTATGGCCTGTTGTAGCCGAAGCAGAATCGTCCAACGCGGCCCCAGCGGATGAAGACTTTCATCGTAGTGACGAACAGGTAACGTTTGTCCTTCTGGTATCTGTACTGAATTTTTAAAAAACTCTTTGTATTTTAATAATTTACTGATTTTGTCAGTTTACAAAACTAGTCCAAAACGGGCAGCAACTCTATGATGCTTTTTGAGCATTAGGGGCTGCATAGTGCACTGGTATGTACATACCAGGAAGAACAAAACATGGAGCAATGCTGTTTCATTGGTGTGCTCTACGGTATCTATTTCTAATAACTGACTAAAAGTCGTAAAGCTGTAAAAACGCAACCCTCACTTGATATATTCTGCGTTTCAGGAACGGTGTTGTTTAAACAATGTCCTCACACATTAGGCAAGCTGCGGATTAAAATAATAAATATTAACGTAATGATTCTATCAACTTTAATTTAATGCATGATTTTGGATTGTTCAGGTGAGCCTGTATTTGTACGCCGAAAGCGAAGAATTGAAAAACCTAACGCGGCCATTCGTCCGCTGTTCGGTTCAGGCGACCGTTACACAATTGAAGAAGTTCGTAGCGAAATGTCTATACTCAGATATGAACCGTTTTACGGATGTAAGCTATACGCTGTCATTTCTTTGGTCAGTCACTGTGCGTTGTAACGAGGCCTTGCTGGTTTCTAGATCGATATTCTTTGTAACAATGAAATGATGGGCAAGGATCATTCACTGAAGTTCATATTGCGCACACGATGGAGATCAAACGTAAGATACAATTCTGTTTGTAGTATAAGGCGGTGATAAAGAAATTATGTTTCAGGAACCGCCTCTGAAATTGGAGTTTAGGCCACACGTCGACTTTTGATCTATGATTTCAGTTCCATTCATCTATTTATTTGGCTCTTGCTGGTCCCTAAATTTTAATTTCTTGAAGTGTTGCTCATCATTTACCGATTGTTTTATTTAATAAACAAAAGTTACATAGAAACAAAAAAGTTTGTTGTAGCCTTTGGTGCTTTCCTGATTTCATAGATTGTTTCGTTCGGTCTTCAGATTGACAGATCGCGGTTTCAGTGTGTTACCATCCAGTCCCGTATGAACCGAAGCTGATTTGCCGTTTAGTGAAAAACGGCCATCTTTCGTTAATAACCTATAAACGTCAAATTAGTAATGGGCCATTTAGTACAGTTTTAGAAAACCAGGTACATGAATAAAATCTTTTGCAAGCGAAAAATCTCCCCCCCCCCTGACCAGGACGCAATTTTCTGAATGTCTTAATATCGACAGTTTAACAAACTTTGATCAACTAGAAACATCTATTAACTAAAAATACATACGACTGGAAAAGTTTAAGAATAAATTTATTTACTTATTACAAGACAACGAATTAGAGCATCGTCTGTTACACAGTATGTTTGCAGTGATACGTTTGCATATTTATTTATACATTTTAGGGCAGTCGAAATTTATGTACCCCTGGTCCCGCTAGATTGACAGTGACGTTTACACGAGTTAAATTTTGTTGTTGCGATTGTGTTTGACAGCACAAAATTATATTTATGTCTCATTGCAAGGGTTTTATGATAGTAAACGTGACAATAACTTACTCTTTCGCATCATAAGTAAATAAACCTCCATAAAGTATAGCTTACGTCAATGTAAAACTTGTGGCCAATCCAATGACCCAGAACATAACAGGGCCAAGGTACTAACGAATTTTGTCATGAAAATTTCATGAAATCGGTCGTGCCTTCAGCGCTTTACCCCGGATTCAAGCGCTGCTCCAAACAGTCCGTTTCATTCATCTAAAGCAAATAAACCAATACCCCTTCATTGGAAGAAATACAGTTATGTTTAAATTTGTTGTAATTGTTTTTGTAATGCAACAGTCATTCTGCTCATTGTGCTGTGCAAAGTTTACAGGAATTCAAACCCTAGTAAACAGCGTGTGAACAGCTTTCGTTAAGTAACTGTTTTTGCTAAGCAGGTTTGATGAATATCCCTCTGATATAGACGTCAGACATCGTGAACTGAAGCTGCTTAATGTCATTAGGCGGTTACGGTGAAAAGTTATCGACGTGGACTGAACAACGAATCAGTTTGAGCCCATTCCAATATGAAAATTACATGCTTAACGGTGTCATATATACACTCTAAGTTAACCCTCACCCGGACAGGAGGAGCATTTTCACTAAAGCAAGGCCTGGTAGCAAAACAGCATCGATTAATAGCAAAAATAGGCGACAGCGCGGCAGAAAATTAGAAACTTTAATATCGATAAATATATACAACAGAAAGCTTTCTATCCGGTCAAGCCTGGCATCGTATGAAGTACTTCATCCAAAAGCTGTAATGCCCTGTGCAAATGCACCTCTATCCAACACGGCGTTGCTTTGATACTTTGACGAGGATAATCTGGTCCCCATCCTTTGACGAACGACAAGCGTAAAATGCACAGGCGCCGTAAATCGTCCACACCAATTCCAGCAGCAGCCGAAAGCGCTGAAACAACAACTCTTCAGTCGTACCAGCATAGTATTGAAATTTGACTATTATATTAGACATTATTTAATCGATTAACAATTAAATACTTCTAGACAATATCTGCGCTTTTACGCTAAATCTCAAGATTTTTAGCGTTTTAAACGATGGATAGGACTTTTAAAGGCAGACCGTAGTTCTTTGTTAAGACTGTCGGCAAACAAAAATGTTACTTTCCACGTCCACAGTCGTAACGAAATATGTCAATGTTTCGGATCATGCTTGATCCATCTTCATGGATCATATCATACCTACCAGATTTTCATTTTCAGAGCAGTAAAAACAAATATTCAATCTAAGACTCTACCGCTTCTGAAGCGAAAGTGCGCTTCTGACTCAAGCATAGTTCATAAACATAAACGTAAAGATCTCTTATTCCTTAAACTTGCTGTATCCTTAACGTTTCCTGTTTATTTTACAGAGACAGAATGTACCGTAATGAAACGCGCAGTACATCAAATTTAATATTTCGCGTAATTTTATTGTTCCTGTATTTTAAAACCATGGATCGGAAAGGAGTGAATAATCTGTTATGAACTGTACGGATTAAAACTTCGCTTCATATAAGTTCGCCTGATGAATAATTCGGCTGTTTCTTCCAAGACATATGATAAATTAATTTTGTTCTCTGCTTCTATATTTAGGCAACGTATGCCTGAATTGAAAGCGCTTCCCTTAGAGAACGAAAGTAATAGGTTTTTGGGCCACATACTTCCAATCTGTTCAGTTGACCATGAGATATTTTAGCACTGTGATTAATATTAAACTTATTCCTAATTCTATCCTGATCCTGCAGTAGGCTGGCACTTTGGTCTGCTTTTATTTACGATGTTTTTACTAAACTTCCTTTTTCTTTTATCAGCATTACTCCTGGCTAAATCTTAAATCTGTTTTTCCATAATCAGTCATGTCACTAGTCTGTCCTGTGTACGCCATGGAGTGGTCGTCAAGGATGGTACTGATCCATCACAAGAACCAAAGCTGAAACTTGCGATACCATATCTTGTGAATAAGGAGAAATTAATGTTCGAAACGCTGCTTTACAAAAACTATAAAGTGAATCAACAACGAAATCGTCATAAGCAAACAACGGTTGAAAAATCTTACAGACGGCTGGCGGGAGGCCAGTAACCGCAGAAGGACCCTGAACCAAACCGGCGACCGCTGCGGCCTGCGCCGCGGCAGCTGCTTGGGCGGTTGCTGCCTGTTGAAGCATCTGACGATGGCACTGACGAAG